TTCATCGCAATGGCTTTTGTTATTAAAGATATGTCTAACTTCATCACCATGGCTTCTGTTACCAATAAATATGGCCAACTTCATCGCAATGGCTTTTGTTATTAAAGATATGTCTAACTTCATCACCATGGCTTCTGTTACCAATAAATATGGCCAACTTCATCGCAATGGCTTTTTTGATAGGAGTATTATTTTCATATTTTTAATTATCGTAGTCTTTACTTTGCAGATGAAACCCGATTTCTAGCGTTGTAATTCCGCAGACATACCGCTGTGCCACTGGGGGGGTGTTCATTCTGTTATGACAATTGTTGGTTATCAAACAAAGAATATAAAAGGAGTTTCTTCCAGTTTGTCTTGCATAGAAGAATAACAATGCAAATCCTTAATAACAAAGAATATTACAAATATATATATCTAATGGCTACTAACTCGTGGCTCCCAAGTGGCATAGCGGTATGTCTGAGGACTTACAACGCTATAAATCGCGTTTCGATATCCGTGGTGGGCAGAGCACAGATAGCCCATTGTGTAGCTTTTAGCTTAACTTCAAACAAACAATACTAACTAGTGTACAAAATTTACTCATTACGAACAATTCAGTTTGGTTTTCCGAAATGGTATCAAAGGAAGAAAACCTTAGTAAAAATGAACTACTTTTTTTTTTTTTGTCTCTTCGATAAAAGTTGTTCTGTACAGAAAAACGAAAAAACAATATTCAACGTCACTCGGCACACACGAACAAGTGAACACCCGATATAAAATTATATTTCAATTGCGTTAGGTAACAATAACTGTCTTGGAACGTACTCGACTATACATTATAGCCCCAAATGGTAAGCCATTGAAATCATAAAAGTTGCTGTCTCAATCAATACATTCAATGTTACTTCTTTATTGTTTCTTATCACAACTATAGACAAGAGCTTGGAGATGCTGCTGCTGCTGCTACGTGTTTTGTTACAGGACGAACGAGACTATTCCCCCCCCCCCCTCTATCATATTACAGGTACTGGCGCGTGCAGACCCTAGCATGTAGTCACTTTCAGGTGTGATAGCGCGCGCCACTTCCCTTTAATAACGTCAGTGCGAAGCGATGATAACTTAGCTTTTGTATTCAATTATGACTTTGCGTTTCCTTTTCTTTCAAAACTTGGCCAT